ACAAAAAAAAAAAAAAAAAAAAAAAAAGAAAGAAAGTGTGTAAGTGTGTGATCAATCCAGATGGGCTTCTCTGAACTTGATTTAAGAGGACAACAACAATCTTCTAATACGGTCCTGATTTCAAGTTCTGTATTTACTTTCTGTTTCATCTACCTCTTTCCCAAACAAGTCTTTCTGAGATAATACCCTGTGCTTGTCACCCTGCTGCTTGGAAGCTATCAATAGCTCCCCAGTGCCCAAAGAACCAATTCTCCCCTCTCTTAGCCTGGAGCTCCGCACCTTCCCTCCTTTCCAGCTTTGGCCTCTACTCCAGGACTTAACCCAGCAGGGATGGGAGCTCCTGAGAGCTCTGAGTCCCTCTGGGTCATGTGCAGGATGGAGTGTGCCTGTGTGCTTTCTTCCCTAGAACAGCAGGTGCAACTGAGCTGTAATGTAAACCCCATACAGAATTTAACATTTTCTAATAGTCACATTAAAAAGCAACAGGTGATTCCCTGCCCCCCCACCTCGGGAATATACCTGGAAGAACACAAATCATTCTACAAAAAAGATACCTGTACATGTATGTTTACTGCCACACTATTTGCAATAGCAAAAACATGGAACCAACCCTATTGCCCATCAAAAGTAGGCTGGATAAAGAAAATGTGGTACATATGCGTGATAGAATATTATACAGCCATGAAGAAGGGCAAAATTATGGACTTAGCAGCAAATTGGATGGAACTGGAGACAATCATTCTTAGTGATCTATCACAGAAACAAAGAATCGAATACACATATTCTTATCCATACATGGGACCTGAACGTTAATCACGATAGCACAAGGGAGGGATCGGCAGCCATGGGGCACTGCCAGGGAAGGGAGAAAGGGGGCATAATAACACAAAGGGTACCTGAACCAGAGGAAGGCCCAAACTTCACCTGCATGTATTACTTATGTACCTAATCCTGACTTGTACCCCACATCTTTACAATAAAATTAAGTATTTTAAAAAAGGAACAGGTAAAATTCATTTTAATGAGAGATTTGTTTAATCCAACATCCACAAACGATGGCACTCCTTTTTCAGACTAAATATTGAAAACCCAGTGTGTTCTTTACGTAGACAGCACATCGCAGGCTAGGCAGCCAAATTTCAAGGGCTCGACCGCCACACGTGGCTTCTGTGAATGCATCCTGCCACTGCCCCGGTCTCAATGAATGCTGGAGGCAGAATACACAGGAGTCACAGGCACAGAGGAACACTGTTTCAGATTTAATCCATCAGGGTTACCCTTCTCGCTAATCAGATACTCTCCACATTAGACACTATCCTATTAGATACCACCCTGCATGGAAACCAGAGCCTACACTGACTGGCCCTGCATGTGAAGCAGCTGTTTCCCATTTAGCCCTCACAACGACCCTAAGAAGACGGGCCTGGCAGGCTGGCGCGTGACCCGGGCTTATCAGGTCACTCAGCAGCTGTCAGATTCGGGGGTGGTATGGCTACATGGGTGCATGTCCCGTGCAGTGACCGTGGCTCTGTGCGTAGAGGGGCCTCATGCAGGGTTTCGCCTCTGCTGCCATTGATTTGAAGTTCTTCTGAATCCTCGAACAAAGAGTTCTGTCTTTCATTTTGCAACAGGCCATGCAAGTCAGGATCCCTAACAGGGAAGGCAGCCCCCAGGTAGCCTCTAGAGGCAGCTTACAGTTGCCGCACTCTCAGCCTTGCTAGCAAGTGCTGTGTTACGTGAAAGCAAACCTTGGGTCAAATTCTGCCAAACATGACCTTTACGAGCAAGCTGGCAGGGAAGAGAAACCCATGGTGCTTTCCATGTGCTCTGTCCTCAGGCCTTCTGCAGGCACCTCTTGGGAAGGGTTCAGTCAGAGGGGGCACTGTGGCAATCCGATGGCACCACAGCTGGATCTCATGGATGTTCTATGAATTGGGAGGACACAGGCCCGACACGCACAGAGTTGCTGGTGTGGGAGTAAAGAGGGCCTGGCCGCCTTTCTAACCAATCACAGATCTTGAACATCATCTATTTCACTGGTAAAAATGTGTACGTAGCATTCCTTATATGCTACAACTCTCCAATGGGCACTTCGGTGGCATCAGAAATACATAAACAAGTGCCTCTGGATGTGAAGCTCAGAACAGACCATCCAGCTTCTCTGAACTCCAGCAATCTCTTCCTTAAAATGGGCAGAACACACACTTTGCAGAGCAGGGGCACAAGCGCAATGTCCAATGCAATGGCTGCTATGAACAGGCCTCAGTTATGGGCAACAGTCTTCAGACACTCCCCACACAGTATTAAAATCCAGCTTCCAGCCAGGCTCGGTGGCTCAGCTGTAATCCCACGCTTTGGGAGGGTGAGGTGAGTGGATTGCCTGAGCCCGCGGGTTTGAGACCCACCTGGGCCACTTGGCAAGACCTCATCTCTACAATAAATAAATAAAAAATTAGCCAGGCGTGGTAGTGCATGCCTATAGGTCCAGCTACTGGAAGGCTGAGGTGGAAGGATCGCCGGAGCCCAGCAGATCAAGGCTGCAGTGGCCGGGAGCTGCCACTGCACTCCAGTCTGGTGACAGAGTGAGACTCCAACTCAAAAAAAAAAAAAAAAAAAATCCAGCTTCCAACCAAGACCAAAAAAGGACACGCTTACAACAGTTCTGTGGCAAAAATGCAAAATCATTTATATTTAAGATAGAGGAACACCCTGCAGCACCTCTCCTCTATTAACTACACCATTGCACATGAGCCAGAAAATCTCTCGTTAACAAACTTCCAGAGGCAAAGTTCCGTCCCAGCAACTGATATTCACAAAATTTGTAATTCTCAAACCTGTAGAACTGAAAGCTGATATGAATTCCAAATCAGACCAATAATCACCACCACCATCCAGAGTCGCCAAAACATCTGTGATCCCCTAACTTACACATCTTTAGCAAGCACAGTCAAGTTGTCCATGTTGCCGAGTTTTGGAAACTAGAATTGATTTTTACATTTGTCTTTCCTTTTGAGTCAGGGTCTTGCTATTACCCAGGCAGTAGTGCACTGGCATGATCACAGCCCACCACAGCCTTGCCCTCCTGGGCTCAAGTGATCCTTCCCAAGGAGCTGGAACTACAGGTGCATACCACCATGCCTGGCTAGTTCTTCGATTTTTTTTCTGTAGAGACAAGCTCTCTCTATGTTGCCCAGGCTGGTCTAGAACTCCTGGGTTCAAGCAATTCCAAAGTACTAGGATTATAGGTGTGAGATAACACACCTGGCCTTGTAATTAATTTTCTTTATACAAATAACTTGTCCTGCACAAACCTGACCATGCTAAAACCTTCTAGTGTGTTCTGTGAGACTCCCAAATGCAATTTCCTGTCCCACCAGGCACTAGGACTCAGCACAGCAAGACAGGCCTCTGGGTCCACTAACAGGCTGGGGCCCAGCTACGAGTTTCTGGTATTTGGCTCCTGACTAGTGGGAGAAGCAGAGAGACTGCCGACCTGATTCTGTAAGACAGTCCACACTTTACACTAAGTTCTGTTTAGGGCAAACACTGTTTTGCATCTTCTAGATCAAAGACTCTCAATATCTGATCAGTCTGAGAACCACATAGGCTGAAAAGTGTCTCCA